CATAATGACTCTTGTGTGTCATTTGCCCCAAAGGAGTGTCAAAAAAAGGGGGCTCCTTGTGAAAAAAAGGACAAGGAACTTTTGGGAAAGACAAGGCATGCCGCAAAAAGGGCAGACCATGGGGAATATTGGACAATTTCTTCCTAAAAAGGTCATACCTACTGTTTCAGATGCGACTTCTGCTGCCACTGAGAACTTTGGCAAGCTCACCCTCCTACGGTTCCTTCTTGCTGTCATTGTGATGGGCGCCCAGGCCAAGAAGGCCAAGGACGCAGAACCCAAGAAGCCACCGGCCAAGGCCACAGAAGTGCTGAGTGATAGCAAATCATCCGGTGACAACGATGATGATGACGGCCCCCTGACCTTTGAGTGAACCACAATAATCACAAAGTAAAGTCTTTGGTTGCTTCAACTCCAAAGCCTGTGGAGGAAAAGAAAAATTGCTCCTCACGGCACCCAAGTCTCCCAAGGACAACAATGCCTGGATCGACCAGCTTGCCCACATGGACCTCACCAATGATAGACCAAGTCCTCTGTTTGTCATGATCTTACCAGCAGAGGAAGATGGATGCTACTTTGTGGTGGTTTGTCAGCGCTATCTGCCCCTGTCAGATAATCTTCTTCCGTAGCTGTAATGAGAGCCTCAACGCTCTAGCTATCTCAGGAGTATACTGAGCTTGGCTATGGATTGCCTACAATAGGAACAGGTGCCAGTGATGCTGGGCTTCTACATGCGGATGAACAGTCTCACCACTTCCTATTAGATCTTATTCTACTGCTATTCTTGCCAGAAGTTGATCAACAATGATCTCCACAAGCAGGTACAAAAAATCTCTTCCAGAAGCCATCTGCGCCAGCTCTCACCAGCTGTCGCGGCGTATAAAGCACATACGCACATGTTCTTCACAAACTAGTCACAGAACTAGATCTACCTTCAATACTTATCCATCTCTGTACATACTCAAACCGAACTCCCGTCTGTGTTTGATATCACAAATGTCCAACTTCACTGTCTGACATTTTTTACTGTTCTTTTATCTATTAAGATCCCATTTCACCAACACACTCCTGTCGTTTTTACGACTCCAGTTGCGATAACAATTCCTTTCTTCATTTAATATGTAACGTGTATATATAACCAACAATGGTCATATCTAATCTTCCTGATCCCCTTGGATCAATGCCCAAAATTTGCGGAACTTTTCCCCTTGCAAAGGTTTTGTCATATAATCCCCCCACATGTTATCAGTTGGCATGTGTTCGATCGTAGGATTTCCTTTCTCAACCTGATCAGTGACAAAGAAATAACGGATGTTCAATGCACGGTTTCTCTTTCCTGCACTTGATCTCCTGTTCTTTTTGAGGAGAATAGAGCTCATATTGTCTTGGTACAAGATATTCTTCTCAATTGGATAACCTTGTTCTTCCATGAACATGCGTGTCCACAACACTTGTGTGATTGCATCATCTACTCCAATTAGTTCCGCATGTGTACTGCTGCGGCTGTTTAGCTTCTGTTTCTTGGACATAGCCTGCATAGCTCCACCACTCATGGGCATCAATTACACCCGTGCAGATAATAGCTTCATGCAAAGCTGTGGGACTTGCAGTGTCCTCACAAGACAACCAATCCCGGGTCTTGTTACCTTTGAATACACAGCGTCCTTTGATCGTTACGCCATCATTCTTTTCGGCCAGTAGCATCATTGCATCTATGGCCTTGTTTCTTTTGGTTGGTCTTAGTTTCTCAATACTGATCAGTGTCCAGCAACTGCTCTTGATCAATTGGTCAAGTTCTTTCATGGCCGCGTCTTTACCTTGCTCCTTGAATATCTTCAGTCCTTTATTCAGATAGTATTGCTGAATGAACAAGACTCCGTCTTGCCCATCGATACCACCGTTGACACCATCACGTATCTGTTGGATAACACCAGCGACTACCAACGCTTCGTCAGCGTCATATTCGCCTTTGTTTGTGTTTCCGACTTGCTGGAATGCCAAATTGTGCATGCGTTCTTGGATAGAACGCTCGTACTTATGGCTCCCTTGCAACTGTGCTCTCTTTCTTTGCGTGCCAATTCTTTTCTTAATCGCTTGATACAGCGAGACTCGGAGTCTTTTCATTTGTGCTTTTCTTCTCATCGCACGCCTGTCTCTCAAAGCGTTTGGCACAGGCGGATTCTTTCTTTGTAGGTATGCCTGCTCAAATCTTGATTTCTCTCTTCTGTATCTCTCAGTGGGTGTCATTTTTACCCCTTGTGAGAAGTAGGATCGATTGTGTCTTGGGCGAAGTACCCTTTTTGCTCCAACCTTGACACCGTTGTCACTGTAACTTCTCACAATTCCTTTGGTGTTGGACTCATTACCATCTGTGTCCACGAATCTCACTCATGCACAAGCGACACCATCTTCCTCTTCTGATTCAACTGCCACATCTTCTTGTGTGTTGTCATCAAAGTCGAACAGAACTTCTTCTTTGTCTGGTTTTCCAAGTTCCACTAACTCAGCTGCCAGTTCATCTAACATTTGCTTGGCTTTGTCATCTTCTAGTTCAGACTTGTATTCGTCTTTGTAGTCCATGTCCTCATTGGCAGTTATCCATTCGTGTTCTTGGTAGGCTTTGTCCATCAGATCTTCAGCATCTTGTTTAGCCTTAATCTTCTTGAACATTCTGTCGAACATTTCGTCTTCTAGCTCATCTTCATCTTGATTCGCCTCGCTATTGTATCTTGGGTTCCCGTCCCTGTCGAACCTTGCTTCCATGATGTCTGCTTCAGCATCCATTAGTAATTCATCAAGTTCGTCATCTGGAATATTTTCATTTCGGAGGGTTACATCACTCAGTCTCTCGATTTTGTTTGCTGGTACATAGTTTTCATCCCACAGTTCATCTGGGTCCACTCCTTTGAGCAAATCACCATCAAGGATTAGCTTGCCATTACGCTTAGAATAGGTGCGTAATTCTTTCACTCCTTCCAATCTTGCGTCTTCTTCAATAATCTTGATGACTTGGTCAGTCATCGGAAGAACCTTGATCTCCACACGTTGTGCCTTGCACTTTATGTTCAGATCATATATACGGTGCCCTTCTTGAATATTGTCGGTGGGTCCCATGTAAACACCTTCGATCGTTTGAGCAGCCATATTATTCTTGGTATCATGGCCATATCCATGGACATATGCACCAATCTCAGCAACAAATTCTTTAGAGGCATCAACCATTCGTTGATGCATAATCATATGCGAGCTGTAGTATTCAGACAACCCACCTTTTGCCGGATAGTAGTTGGATATTTTTGCGACTCTTGTCATAAGTGCCACAGTCAACTTCTTTGGAATCGCCTTGAATGGCATTCGGTGAAAGTGAACCCAAAACAGTGCTTTTAAATGTTGGTTACTTTGTTCCGCTTTTGGATCATGTTCGCCTCTGCTGGCGTAGTTCATATGAACTTCAAGTTCGTCTTTCACGGGCTCCAATACCGGACGGAACTCCCCATTGCAGCAAATCTTTTCCACTGTGAAATCACGTGCATTATATATTCGAAAGCATTTATCGATTGCGTCATACAATGCCGTTTTGGATCGTGAAGCCAAGGGTATGTAGCACCGGTATCTCACACTCCCATCAATGGTCGTGAGTCCGAATGAATTGTTAACAAAAACAAGATCAATGTGCAACACAACACTGGTCAATCGTAGTCGGATATTCGTTTCTTTGGCCGTATTCCTTGAATTCAATGGCGTAGGTCTGGTTCACCTTGTCCAACATGCTTTGGAAGCGAGACCTGTCGCAGTTGTAGAAAAATGCACTTGCTTTAAGAACTTCTTTCTTGAACTTGTCTTGGAGCGCCTTGATATTGTCCGAATCGGCCTCTGGATCGTACAGATCCAGGTATCCCATTGTTTTGGTCGCATAGACATGCAACACATCGGTGCCAAGGATTTCGAATATTTGGTCAGCTTGAGCTTCGAACCGCCTTCTGTAGTCGTTCACAGACTCATTTTGCTTCTGAGTGCAGTTCGTGAATCTCTTGAGAGATTCCATGAGTCCAAAGTGTTGCCACTTGGTCTCATGCATGATGGTCATGAACGTCTTTATACGCTTCAACAGCATCACATGGTCTTCCTTGAGGTCCAACCAATCAGTTTCATTGCTTAACTTATCTCTCATTGCTTGAGTGATGAAATGCTTAGTGATGATTGCAGCCACGGTATATTGGTTTGTGGTGTAGATCACCTCTCTCTTGTCAATCTTGACATTTAGATTTTCCCAGTTCCTATCAAGTTGAGCCTGTCTTGAACTTTTGAAGAACTCGGAGTCGTTCTTTCCTGGCTTGTAGACCGTCTGAGTACCTCTTAAAGCCTCAAAGTCCACATGGGCCATATTTCTCACACTCCAGATCATATCTTGAGCGTAGTCCAATAGAAAAAGAAAAACGGAAAACGAAAAGCACAGAATCGATCGGAACTTGCAAACGGTGTTCGTAGCCTAAGTACTAGAGTCTACGTAGAAATCGCAGCAGTTTTATCAATTCAACGGCATTTCACTGTTCTACAATGGGAAAGTATACATCTCTGAAGGTTGTTTCAACGGCTGCTAAGAAGGCAGGCGGATCAAAATCTAAGTTGGGTTCTACCTCCAAAAAGAGCGGAAAGAAACAATTGGAAAATGCATTCTCTGTTGATTTACGTCAACCTAAAGACAGAGATCCTAAGATCTCCAACGATTCCGGAACTCAAGAAGTGATTGACACAGTGCGTCCACTGATTGACTTTGGGCTCTCCACTCAAGATTTAGTCGCTGTCGGCTATGACAAGAACTCTACTCAGATCAAGTTTGGAAATCACGTTTTTACGAAATGGATCGACGACCACAACGCCCGCTGGTCTCAAGCCCTTCCCAGGTTTGATAGCCCTTTCCAGGACTTCTATGCTAAGTTCTCGGTCGAAGTTCGAGTCAATATGATTTTTGACGAATACAATAACGACTGGCAACGCGTTTTGGGCTTTTTGATTTCGATTTTTGAGGATGACGACAAGAACACGGAATATATCTGGGGAGTGAGAGCGATCGCCCTACAGGTCGCCCAACAAATTCCTTTCTCCTTCTTCGATATCGGTCTTTTGGGTGATTTGACAATTCAACAAGATGATTTGTAGTTCTGTCGTGATGATTCTAATCCTCGCTTACGACAAGAGACACCTTTGGTACAATTTTGGTTGATCTGTGCTACAATGTTTGACCATCCTTGGACTATGATGTTTGACGAATTTCTCGAGGTGACTCCTGTAAGATGCATACAGGAAATGAAGACTAAAGTCATCGCGGGTTTCCCGAAGGACGCGGTTGACAAAGTTGAAATCCACAAGGATGTCAGAAAGATTTTTGATCCGGAGTATGAAGATTCCGAGGAAGAAGATGCTCCAATCGGTGACGAAGATAATGGCTTGGTTAACAGGTATGCCCAACCTGACGGGTGGGATTCAGATGAGACCGATGACGACAGCGAAAGTAACAATAAGACAGACGACGATGCTGATGATGATGATGAGGATGAGGCATCCGAGGAATCCGTCATTATAGTTGAAAGCACTCGGCCGACCGACAATGAATTTGGTGGCAGCCGATCCGGCAGAGGTCACCTCGCTGAGACTCGCACCATCACTGATGAAACAGTCTCCGAATTGACAGGAAACACAGGTGATGAATCTGACCCGGAATTAGCGTCTCAACGGGTATCAATTGATGAACAAGCTACCAAAATGGACGTGGATGGAACGGACCCAAGCATATGTTCCCGACCCAGTGGAAAGCGGCTGCATCCGGCGACAAGGTCTACGAAGCCTGCTACACAGGAGACGGCAAAATCGAGGCCTAGAACGAACGCTCCCGGAGCTAAACGGAAATCCCAACGAACTTTGACGCTGGAAGAGCGCCTGGATGATTTGCGCAATGTCGACCTGGACGGAATGGAAGGCAGGGCTATGTTGGTCGAGTTGGGCATGGTCTACAATTACTCAGGTCAGCAGGATGGTAACCAATCACATGCGTCCATTATCCTGAAACATATTTTGGACACCTTGTCCGACACGTTCAGGAACACAGAAGAGACCTTTCGTATACTACCACTTTCTGACAGGACGTATAAGAACACGCAGATGTGGATTCGCAATGAAGCCGACCTTCGGCGGCTGATTCCTGACTACCGCGGGTTGTCACGATACCTTGATATGTCTTTTGGCAACATGTCGTACGCGTCTACGTCGAACAAGCCGGGAGAAAAGAAGCTACGCACACGGCTGAGAGTAGGTTTCGAGGCTGACGTGCCGTCGGAGACGATCCAGCAATATCTGCATGGAGAATTGCAACACCAGGGACGTGGCGCCGGATGCTACTCATCTGTTCTCCAGTTTGGCGACATTGAAAAGATTGGAGCCTTATGTTTTTATCCTCAGGAGATCAACATTAAGGCCATCGAGAAAGAACTGATGCGTCATTTCGGTTGGGATATTGTCATTGGACTACGGTACGAATGGGTCAACACTCCGTACAACGGACGCAGCAAGTGGAACAAAAGAGCACCAGGGTGCATGATGTGGCACGTCTACGTGAGAGCAAGACACGCCAAGCGGGTGGACCGGGCATTACGCCTGTGGCTTCACCCCTGGACTCCAAAGAAAGATTTTCCCTGGTGCGCTGTCACCCACTACATCAGCGATTGGAAGGCAGCTCAAAATGGGATAGTCAGTGTTAAGGCCGTTGGTCCAGTGAAGGATGAGAACCTGACCATGATTTCGAAGCACAACGATTTTGTTGAACTTACTCAGGCCAAGTACTGCCCAGTCGAGATCCCAGGAATGCTTAAACAGGCGACCACAAAGGATTTTGGCCCTCGCACCTGTTTGTCCATGTTCCTCTCGGTCAAGGCACGGCCACTGCACGCTGATAAAGTTGCTGCGGCCGATGTGGACACCGACTCCGACTCTGACGATTCTCTCCTTGATGACATCTCTCATAAGTTTACAAAAGTGACGACCAAAGGGAAGACAAAGATAAAGAAGAGGGTCCCAAAAACTTCCAAGCATCTGTCTCTTGAGAACGATGGCCCTGTTCTGACACCAGCGCAACAGCGCCGGGCCCGAGAGTCGGAAAGGAAGCGAAAAATGGACCTGGCGAATAATGTCCCAAGCCCGCTGTTCATCATGGTTCTACCTGGCGAAATGGAAGGGACTTATCTCTTCATCAGCCGGTTGAAGTCCGCAGCCTTGGCAACAAACGTTTTGAAAGGACTGGTTCCGTTCTTCACTCATCATTTGGGGGAATCAACGACTACTTGATCCAACAGAGTTCTGGGCAAATGGTTCCCTAAGTCTCTCATCCATACGACACGCTGCAAGGAACTTGTGTGGTGCTTGGAGACTCTATGGGCACGACCAGCCGACCAAACTCAGCAGGGCGTTGACAAAGCAATCGATTTTCTGGATGGGTTTGGCTCTGATCCTCTTGATGTCGGTGAAGCAAAGTTGGAATTTGATATGGATATGGCGGACGCTAAAGATATTGACGATGGAGCTACGGTTGCTGGTGCCATGGATGAGTTGTTGGAAAAGGATAGTCAACTGGAGGCTGCTATCACGGAGATTGAATTCAAGGACAATCTTTTGTCCGAACAGAATTCTGCTTTGGAGGCCGAACGATTACGATCTGAACAGTTGGCGCGCGAACTTGCCGCAATGCGCTTACTCCAACAGCCATCAGCAAGCCGCACAGATCAGCCAACTCAGCTTGACGACAGTGGGCCTTCCAACAAGTCGCCTGCGGAGGAGGATATTCCTCTCCCAGAAAAGCCACACTCCCCGTCCACTCCGGCACGATCCAACAATCCAGGTCCCCTCACCTCCCCACTGCCGGGATCTCCTTCTCCGGCACCTGGGCCCAAGACAATGTTACCACCTCAGAGTGCTGCCACTCGCCCCAAATCCTTTGTCGAGTCAGTGACTCCGGACCAAGCCCCGAGGACGGCACCTACAGTACGTCCTCCCAAGCGGGACGGTGGTCCCAATGCAGAGTCTATCACTCCGTCCTTGACTGACACTCAAGGATTGGAGAGGCAATCCGATGCATCTACCCCGTCGGTCTTCCCCATCTTCCGCCATCCTCAACAGTCTCCTCCCTCCGTCCCGGTTAAGGGCAAGAAGGATAAGAAGACATCATTGGCCGGCCGTGGAGCTTCCCGCTCCACGGCAGGGCAATGAGAGGCCCTCGATTGTCTGCCGCTAGGTCACGGCGAGCAGGCAGACGATCACGAACGAGTGGCCCCTCGATGGGTGTTCCCCATGCATCAGTTGAGGAATTTCTAAGTTCTCTTTCCCCTGGTGAATTTTTTGGCGACAATCACAGTTGTCATCTACAGTCATCGACTCGCCTTGTCTTTCAGAACGTCAATGGCATTCCAGCCTCAGCGACCGGATGGAAACAACAACAGATTAACCAGTGGTTGAAAGAAGAACGAGTGGGGATTGCGTTGTTGGCGGAGACCAACACACACTGGCCTTCCCTTCCGGAAGGTCAACACTGGAACGATAGGATGCGACAAGTAGCATCTAAGGGATATTATTCGGTCGCGGCGCACAATGAGAACCGAGCTCGTCCCATCGCCTCGTGCTCGCAGTACGGTGG